ACCACGCCACGTCGTATCACGATGCGATGCGATAGGTGGGGTACAATGACGCGGAGTAGTGTAGAGGCTTCTGTGAAATGCTCATCGATAATGCTCCGCAATTGTTCTAGGACCTGCCCCCGCATTCGGTTGGGAGCTACCACGAAATGGCAAGCAAGTTTGTAGGTCAGTTCCATAATTCCTATACCAATCGGCGAACGGAAGCCCAACTCTCCTCGATCAAATTGAAACCAGGTGAGGACCTGAAAGCGTATGTCGCTCACTTCTCAAACGAGAGGCTTCTGAGTAACCAACTTCAACGAAAGTGTTGCCCTGCGGGCGCTCTCCCAGTGTATCGGAGATAGAAAGCTTGTACTCTCACTCTACAATTACCCTGCAAGGTTCATGGTCGAGCTCACTTCAAGGATTAACAGACACATAGCGGGGGAGGAAATACTCGTGGCCTAGTCCTAGACAAAAAGCCAGGCGACACAGCTCGCCAAGATAAAGGGAAATCGACGGACAGATCAGCTACGAAAAGAGAGTCCAGCGGGACTCGATTGGACTCTAAAACCGACCAACTACAAGGATACAGGAAGTACACTCCCACTCGCATGCTAGTGCATCAGGTAGTAGCTCGAATTGACAAGTACCCCCTCGACAATCTGCTTCAGTGGCCAGAATGCTCCCGAAGTGACGCCGACAAAAAATATAGGAGCAATTACTACAAATTTCATCGAGATCACAGACACAACACCATCAACTGCAGAGACATCAAAGATGAGGTTCAATCTTTGTTCCAAAGAGGTAACCTGAAGGAGTTCGTTAGTGAAGGCTCAGAACCGCGATGTCGTAGATGAAAGTATAACGGAGGCAAGGCACAACCAAAATCGAAGTCCCTGAAAAAGGACGATTGCTCACTGGCTATCCTCACTATCAGTTGAAGACCTGGGGGGGCATTGGTAATAAGCGGAAGGCACTAGCCCGACAGGCTAGACGGAAACCCGGAGTAACCTTCTTAAACGAAGAGGTGAATACCCAGCTCCAGCCGCACAACGATGTTTTTGTGGTCGTTGCCAGAATCGACCATGAACCCACACGTTGGATGCTGGTGGATGGAGGGAGCTTGGCGAATGTCCTACCTTTGACGATGTTATGCACGCTTGGGTGGGACCTCACGAATCTCAAAAGGTGTGCATTGCTGCTGGTTGGCTTCTCCGGTGAACGACTCCATCTTGAAGGCAGCATCGAACTACCCCTAACCTTGGGGGAAGGAAAAGAAGATGTCACTCGGATCGAGGAATTCATGGTAATCGATGGTCTTCTAGCCTACAACACCATCCTTGGAAGACTGGCGATACACAACATTAGGGCTGTTCCATTTACTTACCACCAAACAATGAAATTTCCCACCCTCAACGAGATGAGAACCTTGGACGAGCAGCAACGAGCCTCAGAGGAATGTTACGCCACCACTATGAAGGAACCAAAAATTGTGGGTGCCATCAACATTCTGGAAGGCGAGCCCGAACCCGACTCCTCCACTTCATGAGTAGTTCCCAAAGAAACGTCGAAAGTGAATGCCCCCGACACGATCACCGAACAAGAGAATAGCATTCCACGGTCGATTGTGCCCATCTTGGGGCCAGGACGAACCACCAACATGGAAGCTACGCTATCTTGCAATGAGAAGGAATGTCTAATCAAATTCCTCAATAACAATGTCGACAAAGAGCTTCGACGCGACAAAGCTATCGACAAACTTATCCCGACTCCCCCTGCCCTACAAAAGCCAAGAGGGACCTGGGATACCATCAACCCAGTTTGCCCGATGGAACATCTTGCCAAAAGAAAGGTGGGACATACCCACTGAAAGAGTTCCGGGGTCTTCCCTCTCCCGAATGTGGCAACTGATAGAAATCATCCTAGGCAACCGAACACGCGATGCCTTCCCCCTCCCGAATGGGAGCGCGATCGAATGTGGTATCACTGAAGGGGAGCCTCAGGCCACAACGCAGGGGAATCGGAGAGGGAAACCCCTTGGTGTCTCTAGGAATTCCCGAAACATCGAGAGACCTCAAGGATATATAAGCTCACCAGAAGCCGCTCTAGACGCGACCCGACGATCCTTCGACTGGATTCAAAGACAAGCACCCAGACGTCAAGCAAGCCCAGCTGGTCTAGAACCGAGATCGCCCGAAAAGATCTGGATCGAGTCAAGGAAGAGATCTTCAATCAAGTAAAGAATGAACTCGGAGCTGGGGGCATCTGCCCCACCACACGATATGAACCCTCCAACATTGCCCAATAGGCCTTCACGGCTAGCTTCCTAGTCGTGGACCTATCTAAAGGTTGAAAGGATCACGTTTGGACAAATATGACAGATCGGTAGACCCCGTGGACCATGCCACGTCGTATCATCATGTGATGCGACAGGTCAGGTACAATGACGTCGAGCAGTATAGAGGCTTCTCTAGAACCCTCATTGATACCGCTCAACAATGATTCCAGGACCTGCCCCTGCATTCTGTTGGGAGCTACCAGGATCGGGCAAGCAAGTTCGTGGTCCAGTTCCATAATTTTTGTACCAACCGATGGACAGAAGCCAGTTGTCCTCGGTCAAACAGAAATCAGGCAAGGACTTGAAAGCGTACGTCGCTCGCTTCTCAAATGAGGGGCCCCGAGTACCCAATTGCAACGAAAGTGTGGCCCTRTGGGCACTGTCCCAGAGTATCAAAGATAGAAAGCTTGTACGCTCACACTGCAAGTACCCTGCAAGGTCCATGGTTGAGCTCACCTCCAGGAATAATAGACACATAGTAGGGGAAGAAATACTCATGGCCCAGTCCCTAGAAAAAAAGCAAGGCGACACGGCTCGAAGCGATAAAGGGAAATCAGCGGAGAGATCGGCTACAAAAAGAGAGTGCAGCGGGACTCGATTAGACTCTAAAACCGACCAACCATAAGGATACAGGAAGAACACTCCCACTTGCATCCCAGTGCATCGGATACTAGCTCGAATTAACGGGACCCCCATCGACAATCTGCTGCAATGGGTAGAATGCTGCTAAAGCGACGCCACAAAAAAGATATGAGCAAGTACTGCAAATTTTATCGATGCCATAGACATGACACCATCAACTGCAGAAATCTCAAAGATCAAGTTCAATCCCTTGTCGAAAGGGGATACCTGAAGGAGTTCATTGGTGAATGCTAAAAATCGGGCGCCGTAAATGAAAGTATAACGGAGACAAGGAACAACGAAAACTAGGCCACTATACGAGGTATTTCATCTCCCAATTTTCCATATCTTACTTTGACTAAAAGGGCTTTAGATTTTGATGATTTAGAACAGGAGAAGACGATGTCGAAAATTGCCCAAATTTTGGTGGCTTTGAATGAAGCAACTGGAGAAGATCTATTGGAGGACGATGGAAACAATGGGGAAGCTCAAGAAAGACTAAACTTTAAGAGAGAGAATGAGGATCATGGAGAATTACCCCAAAGAAGTCCATGGAGATGAGTGTGAGGAATAAGAAGAAAACGACGATGTCTCCAATACGAAGTGAGAATACGAACTCCAGTGCATGAGTCACAACAAAATGAAGAGGAGGCCCCTATTAAAGTACAAGAATGATAATCTGGTCTTGTGAATGTCTCAAATGAGGCTACAGAGGAATCATCTTTTTCTTATTCAAAAGGTAAGACCCCTTCTTTATCAAGTAGGAATGTTTCTTACCCGAACTTTGTTGCTACTGCAGAGACCTCAGAGGAAGAACTATGCTTAGCCAAAGTGGTGAAGAAAACAAAAAAAGAAGAAAATGCTGGTCCAAATTGTGCCTAGCGCAATTTCCAGGCCCAACACCTGAGGCACTGTAACGCATTTGGCTGCCAAAAAAGAAGTTGAGGCTGGACCATCTAAAACAGCCAAGAGGCCTAAGGCGCTTAAAGAGTCAAAAGAGCATCCTAAAGAGGTTAATGAAGAGGAGCCCACTTCTACGGAGCAACAAGCATCGCAAGCCAAAAGTGTGAGGTTGAAAGTGAAAAAACCTGACTTCACAACTCGTGGTATCTTGGTTGAAAAAGGGTTTGATCATGAGCAAGAGCCCATGCCAGAATATGTCAAGTGACGACTTGTGGAGAATGGTTGGGAAAAGGTGTTTGCACAACCTACACGGGTGTCAAAGGTCGTGGGAAACTAATTCTATGCTACCATCCACCCAAACGAGCAGTTGTTGTGAAAGTAAGAGATAGAGTGGTAAGATTCTCTCCATTGGTTATTAACACTCATGATGGATTGCCGGATTTGTTTGATGCAATAGGTAATGAGATTTTTGTGCATCCGATGGGCGAACAAATAGAGAAGGCACGTAAACTCTTCTACAGGCCAGACAAGTCATGGACCGTATCAACAACAATGAAGCTTTCCTTGAAGCCTTTGGCTATCAATGAGCAAGGCACTGTCTGGACGTACGTAGTGAAGAACCGATTAATCCCAACTTCAAATGATTCCTCCATTAAGCGCAATAGGGTGATGATGGTGTACATTTTGAGGAAGGGCACTGAGTTCAATTTTGGTGAACTCAAAAGAGAAAAAAATTGGAGTTGTTTTGAGAAAATGGTAGGTCCACTTGTTTTTTCATGGATTAATAACAGAGTTATGTTTGCAAGCAGGAGTGGAGGCCAATGATGATGATGTAGTGGCGCCTAAGAAGCAGGCTACATCCATGAGGAGAGTTTTGGGATATTCGATAATTCGGGAGGAAGATTTTCCCATTACCACTGCAGACCCCGAGACCTGAGGCGTGGTTACGAGAGAACAAAACGATGAGTTAAGGGACAAATTTGATCTGGTCTTGGCTACTCAACATGCCATGTGTGAGTTTCTCAAGGGGCTTTATGGAGATGATGCATCTTCTCTTCCCGATGAACTCAAGGCCAACTTGCCTTCATCTTCACGACCTACCGGCGATGATTCTTCAGATGATGACTAGGGGAGTATCTCTTTCTTTTTGCTTGAATACTGGATATTTTTGGATTTTGATCTTGTATGTTAGGTTATTTAGGTTACTTTTCGTGTTTTTAGCTTGCTTTCTGGTTGTTTAGGTTAGTTTTTGGTTTTAGGATAGTTCTTTTATGGATGTTGTTCTGTTAGTAATAAATGTGGTTGTGTTTATGAATTAAATTCAAACTTTGCATGCTTCCTTGTTCTAGCTACAAGTTTGTCCTTAACTTTTTGAATAGCATCTTTTCTAAACTCTTAGCATGCTCATCTTTTAAATGAAATGTTTTCATTTGTTATTTGTTTTTGTATTATGTCAATGAGGATATTTAAGGGCATGAATAGGTTAATGTTAGGGTTGACCATTTTTATGCAAAAACATGTGTCGGTAGCCCTATTTGACCATGTTTTTTACCTCTTTCCCATCATTATTTTCCAAAAATGATTACATGTTCTTAAAGTAGAACATGCATAGAACATTTCTTCATAAAAGTCAAACTATGGTACTTTAGGAAAATTATGAGAAAAATGCGATCAAAGTTGGAAGAAAATAATTGTTTTATGTGTTGCAGGATTGCCCCTGGCGCAATTTTGAAGAACAATTTTACCAAAACGTGCATTTTGATTAATGAGGGGCAAGGATGACATTTCTCATGTGCTTTAATCAATGTATAACCGTGAGTCTAAGTCAAATGGGAGTGCTTAGGTGTATCTCAACTCATTTCCACCTAAAGAGGTGGGAAGTCCAACAACTCCAAGGGCCTATAGAAGAACGCCATCCCTCCACTTGCAATCATCCCTTCCAAGCTCTTTTTCAGCTTCATTTATTTTCTCTTTCGTTGTAGTACTCGTTCTTAGGCTTTAGATTAAATATTTAGTTGTTATTTCCTTGTATTTTCATACTTTTGCTTACCGTATTGCTTTTAATTCAAGTTCTATCTTTTGTTCTGCATTTATTTCGTTCTTCTTAAGTTCTTTAATGAGTTTACACTCTCCTAACGCTCGAGAGAGAAGAAGGTCAAGCTAGAACTCATTGTACGACTCGTTTATTTGTTTTAATTCAATGAAAAATACTTTTTTTATGTTTTCGTACATTTTCTTTCCTTTAAAAATGTTCTAAATTAGTTATCAACCACTTTGTGGAATGCCTTAGTCAAAATGATTTTGTTTTCAACATGATCGGGATTTGCCCAGAATTGCGCCTAGCACTATTTTGGGTTGGTTTCTAAAAACTACTTTTTACGTCTTTTTTTGCCATTTGGCCAGTGGGAACTTGATTTATATACTAAACCCCAACCCTGAAAAGGGTGACTTAGGTAAAATAATAGGAAATCAATATGGGATGTGACTTATACATAAGCGCATAAAATATGGTCTTATACATAGGCCCTCTAACCCATAATGCATGTGAGTTGATAATTATTCTCTAGGATTGTAATCACACATTGACATATGATTGTAGGTTACCTTAGCCTCTACAGCAACCAAAAGCGATAGTGACAGAGTATATCTTAGTTTCCCAAGAAAAGCTAGGATTGCGCCTGGTGCAT